AAACCCAACGAAACCTTTTTCCGAGTTTGATCTGATTGGTACAGATCTCCTCCAGTGAAGTTAAAAACACTGGAGATGAAGTCATCGAGAATGAAATTTGCAAAGAAGTTGAAATCGATTAAAGCCGGGGAATATCTCAATCAGGATCGGATTCTCCAGGTTCTTTCAGCTGCAGATGGGATCTCCGATTATCTCCCCAAGATATCGAATCCTATTTCCCAGATTACAGTAGGTTCAATGTGGAGATCTCCTCAGAAGATTGAAGATCGTCAGATTGGATATGTACCGGAACTTGTGGAAACCCAGAAAGAAGGAGAAGAAGAAGCTTCTGGAAGTTTCGTCGGCGATGAGGAGAACGTCCGGCCTCCGGTGAATCAGATTCCGAGAGTTCCCTGTGACCGGAAAGATAGTAAACCGGCAGTTTCTTGCGGATCTGGATTTCGAAGACCTGATTTGAATTCGACAACTCTTTTCGATCCGAAGCTACTCGAAGCGTTCGAATTAGCTTTGGTATGCTTAAGAAGAATAGACGATTTCTCCAGAGAATCCAGAGTCGATGATGAAGAAGACGTTATCTTCTTTTCCGTCGAGGAAGAGTCTATCGAAAAAGACGAGAATGCCCTTTCTCCGGTAATAGGCATCGAAGAAGATAGTCGGAAAGACGAAATTGTCCTTCTCAATGACGCCCAGCGAAATGAAGGGAGTTTACGAGAAGACGATTATACCCTTCAGATAGGAAAGGAGATCGCCGTAGAAGTCGGACTCATCGGAGAAGACGAGAGTGGAAAAGACGGGAATACCCTTCTCGACCCGTTATTGGAATTCGAGGAACGGTGTCCTCCGGGAGGAGAAGAATCCGTTGTTTTCTACACGACGACTCTCCGTGGAATCAGGAAAACGTTCGACGACTGTAACATGATCCGGTTTCTACTGGATAGCTTTAAGGTTAAGTACTACGAGAGAGACGTGTCAATGCACAGAGAATACAGGGAAGAGCTCCGGCGAGTTTCAGCGGCGGAGGAAAGAGAGGTTTTGCCTCCAGTTCTGTTCGTAAAGGGAAGATGCATCGGCGGAGCTCAACGAGTATTGGGTCTGCACGAGCAAGGGAAGTTTAGGGTCTTATTTGACGGAGTTCCACTCGCCGGAGAAGAACGTTGCCGGAGATGCGATGGGTGTAGGTTTTTGATGTGTGAGGGATGCAGCGGAAGTCGCCGGATAATCGCCGGTGATGGAACAAGGATTCAGTGTTTGTTATGTAACGAGAATGGGCTCATAGTGTGCGTTAATTGCTCGTAAGACCATTTTTTTTTTAATTCTGTGTATATATATACACAATTTGATTAGATTTATTCATCGTTTATTAATTCTTTTTTAAGTATTGTAGCGAATTTTTTCACATAAAATAATGATCATCACTTTATGGTTTGGTTCAAGTTTTGTTGGGTTTTGATTCATTTGTTTATCAAGAACATATTTTTCAAATTCGGGTTTGATTAATCTATAGTGAAACTAAAGATAAACTCTAACAAAAATTGTTTCATGTCGCTTGATTTTGGTTCGGTTAACATGTTTACTCTTAGTTAGATTTGATTGGTTACATTTTTAATTTTTATATTGTAAAAGAAGATATTGATTGTATTTTATTCACATGTAACCAATCAATAAAATAGTAATT